TCAATTTAGAATATGATTGAATATGTTTCTCATTCTACAAAGAAAACATTTGTAAGTTACATATCAACAACTTTCACATTAAATGAAAATAAATTACTTTTCTCTGAGTATGAAATTTGTAAGGATGCCAAAAGTATTATTGATTACCTTAAGGGGGCATTTGGTTCAAGAAATGTTAGATTACTGGAAAGTTAGATTACCTTGAAAAGTACTAGGAATCTTTAGAAAAATGTGTTTGGTTAATTGGTGGGTATGTTATATTAATATGTTTGGTTGGGAGAAATAAATTGGTGAATATGTTATTTAAATTACTGAATTATCCTCTAATTAAATATTATTATTATATTATTTTTTAATAATGATTATTATTTATTATTATTTGGATTATTATAACCCCCTTGCATTTAAAAACTTAGCAAAAACAACCCCATAATAAAAGTTTGGAGAATCAACAAAGCATCCCCACCAACCCAGCCACTGCCAGCTGCCGACAACCACTGCAGGCTGCCAGATCGACGGATCTGGCCATTTCCGGGCAGATCTCTGGTCGGAAATGGCCATACGGCGCATGGAGGCCGTTTTCTGCCTTCCGTGCACCGTTTCGGCAGTGACGGCAACTGGCCACGACGGTGGTTGGTGGTGACAAGTGGGTGGGATTGGTGGCTTGGGTGGGCTGCAATTTGTTTTGAATTCAAAGATAATTTTGTCCAAAAAGTTAATTAATTGGGATGAAATAGTAAAAGTCAAATTCATGTAAATAAATTTAAAAATAAGGGCATTATTGTCCCAAAATTTTATTAATAAGGATAGAATTGTAACAAACAAAAAAAATTACCCTGGTAATTTTAGAATACCTAAGAAAATGGAGGTAATCAGATTACTTCTAATATTACCAAGAGTAACTACTATTAGTATTTGAAGATTACCAGAATCTTATATTACCTGACAACCAAACGTGGTAACCAAGTAATATAAGATGACATAACTCTAGTAATCTCACATTACCCTCAACCAAACGCCCCCTAAAAGATACTCTTTCATTCAAACAAATAATGTTTAAATCAAAATAATCTCCGATGTACTTAGCTGTCCATGCAGATAGATATGTTCTTACAGAAGCTAAAATTCAAGTATGTCCACTGAAAAATGAAAAATAAAGAAATCAACAAATTTTTGAGAAAAATAAAGAAATCAACAAAAGCTTCAGGAACCAACCACTCCGTTGGGGGAAAGTGTCAGAGAAGATGAATTTCCTATGGCTATCAAGTTCAGTTCACATTTACAACTGCATGTACAGCAGCAGTACTAAAAACATTGTTTCAATATCCACCTCCAAAGGCAATGGCTAAGGGAGCCGTGAATACTTAGCCTGATACTGACATATATCTTTTTGGACAAGTAAATGTTATTATATTCCTAAAACTTTACATTCTATATGCTTTTAAAAAACTAAAACACAAGGAACCATATCACGGTGTAACTTGAAGGAGGAAACAGTCAAAGTACAATCTAATGGAGCAAAACTTCGAAACATGATTTGTATCTTATATCCAATAAATTCTATGCAAAAGAACATGTATTGAAAACAGTTTGAAAACAACAACAAAACAAACACATGAATTTGCTATAAAGACATTTTAAAAAACTGTGTAATAGAAGAGCATATCTGATTAATAATTTCTATAGAAATACTACTTCAAGTTTGCCCAGCGCATTTTCCAGCTTCAAAGACAGCAGCTGGTTTTCATCTGTTAAAAGTTTCAATATTTGTTTGATGAAAAAACCAAAAGACATAAATACTACTTAAGGTAATATGACACTTCAGGGCATCCAAAAAAGAGACATAAATAAGCAAACTGCTAATACCTTTTTTTGGGAGGCAAAATACACAGGTTCTCATGAGAAGAAAATTTGTTTTGTTGACTTTCTATTAGTTGTATTAGGTAATCAACTTTGTCTTCCAAATTCCTCTCTGCCCTAATTGCCTCAGGGTGCTCCATTTCCTCATATGATGCTGGTCCATCATCTTTATCACTTTCACTAAGAACTACAGAGTCAATCACACGTTGAATATCTTGATTCTGACTATGCAAATCAGTACCTTGAAGTCGTATAGACCGCCTAACACTAACAGTAACAGCGCGCTTCCCTTTCCTTTTCCACAATGCATTACCAGAATGGCCCTCCATCATATTTTGTATTTCGACTTTTTCCAACAACGGATTTGTTTTTTCAATTCTATTAAAATTAAAGATGTATTAGCAAGGTAGAATACAACAAAACAAACACACAACTTAAATGTATTAAAACAAATTTCAACACAACCAACACTTGCAAACAAAAACAAAATATTTGACATTATAGCATTCTCCAAAAACTATCAAATACAAAAACCCTTTAAGGCGTTAAAAATTTTAAAATGTGGTTGGTATAATTTCAGTCCACACGAAAAACAGTACTTTTATCAGCTACTAAATATCAAAGACTACAATCAATTTTCCAAAACCATAAAACTTCAAACAAACATTTAATCTCCACTATCCAAACGCAATGCCGATCAAACAAACAAAAGTTTAAGAATCAATCTCACATAAACCACAATTTAAGAATCAATTCCATAAACAAACAACTTAAACAATTAGGAGAAACTGAACAAAAGATTACAAAAACAAAGAAGTTATACAGAAGGTGGATCAGCAGTAGGAGAAATCACGAAGGAAACACTGCAGGCATCTTCAAAAAATTGGAGAAATGAAATAAGGGAAAAGAAAATTCCTTTGAGAAATTGGATAAATGAAACAAGGGAAAAGAAGGAACCCTAAATAAGTACTGAATCGATTTTCAAACAAAACCAAAGAGAAAATTTAGCTGAGCGGCCATTCCAAGTTTCCATTTAACAAAATGGCCTTGAAAATGTTTTTTAATTTTTTTTTAATTTAGAGAAGCTGACGTGGCATAGTTAGGAATTATTAAACACGTAAAATGGGTTAAAATGAAAATATTAAAACATATGTGGGCCGAATATAAATAAAGAAAGTTTTTAAAATTTGAAATTTATCAAAACAAGCCCCACCTATTTAGCTCGCTTAATCGAAATTCATTAGGGCAAAAAGTGATTTCTTGAACCTGCGATTTTTCGATCGAACAAAGAATCGTTTGCACACCATATTCAATCCTAAAATCAATCTCTTGAACCCTAAATGGAATACAATCGCAATTTCTGGCGATCTCGCGATTTTCGATTGATTTCTTTAACCCTAAAATTGATTTGTTGAACCCTAAATGGAATCTGTGCGATTTCCGGTGATACAGTCCACATTTCTAATCAAAACTGCAAACTTTGACACCAAATTCAATCCAAAAACCATGGCTGACACTCACAATTAGGAGGAAACCAAAACGCCACTTCGAATCCTAGATTCCCGTGGCGCAAGCAGTTCAATGGCTGCTCCGATGGATCATCTGATCAGTGAAGGTGGTCCACATGCAGAGGAGACGACGGCAGCACAACAATAGAGAGAAGAATCGGCAAACGGTTCTGAAGATGAGGAGTCAGGCGAGAATTCAGGCCAAGAGGAGGAGTCTGACGAGAATTCAGGCCATGAGGAGTCTTTCGAGGATTCAGGCGACGAGAAGGAGGTCGGTGAGAACGAGGAGGCCGACGAAGAAAGGGTACGTTCTGTACTGTCGCTTAAGCGATCATTTGTATCGCTTAAGTGATTAACCTCTTTTACTCATGTCGCATCATCTGCCTAGATCTAAGATCACTTAAGCGATCCTTTATATCGCTTAAGCGATTGATTCAGTTTACTCTTGGTCGCTTAAGCGATCCAGCTTAAGTGATCTTTTCAAGGCAGAATCATAGATATAAAATCGCTTAAGCGGTCCTTTGTGTCGCTTAAGAGATTCTTTCAGTTTACTCTTAGTCGCTTAAGCGATTTCAGATCGCTTAAGCGATTTCAGATTGCTTAAGCGATCTTGCACGAGAAAGAGTCAAGATCTCTTAAGCGATCCAAAATCGCTTAAGCGACCACAGTGGTAATTTTTTGTTGCTGATATTTTGTTTATTAGTTGTTTTGGCTTATTTTTGTTGCTGACATTTTGTTTATATCGATTGTGCAGATTGTGCGGACCGTAAATTATACAGACAATGAGTTGGAACTTATAAGCGATAAGGTGCCCTACTTCCTGCAAGGGTGACAATCAGGTCAAGTTGGGAAGTTTCTGACAGAATACAAGACATTTTAGATGGAATGACGCATGGTAGAAGAGATTTCCATCGCACTTGTTTCGGTCGGTTTTTAAGAATCGGAAATCATTGGAAAAAGGCACTTTGGGGGCAGGGAGTGCATTACATGTTGATGCACTGAGTAAAATGCAATAAAAAAAAAAAAAAAGAAATGTGGTTTGTGGTGGGCGGAAAGCCACTACGTTTTGGCATGATGGAATATGCCCTGGCGACGGGCTTACGATGTGGGGAAGTGCCAGATAAGAAGGCAGAGGTAATAAGGAACAGTCGGGGAGCCAAACAGTTTTATAATAAGGTTTTGCAGGGGAATAAGTCTATTACATCACAGTTTTTAGAGAACAGGCTAGAAACAGTTGAATTTACTGATACAAAGAAGATAAAAGTGTGCTTGGTTTTGTTTTTACATTCGATCTTATTGGCTGGTGACTCAACAAAAGCTGTTGAGAAAGATTGGTTGTTGTTTGCAAGCAACTTGAAGTTCTTTAATTCTTATCTGTGGGGACTGAAATCATTTGAGCGAACCATCAACAACCTGAAAAAAGTGGACATGGATTTAAAGCAGTCCTAATGGCAGAGGAAGGATAAATGAAGCACGTACAATTTGTTTGGCTTCCCATAGGCAATGCAGGTAAATATTATTAGCTTTTTGTTATATTTTTTGTAACATATGTGTTTGAATTATGATATGGACTGTTTTTTTTACAATGTAGGCTTGGATGTACGAGGCCATCCCTGTCTTTGCTGGGGGGGGAGGAGCAACAGTTTGGATGTGCAATAACAATTTCCTAGGATGTTGCAGTGGCATGTCGAGAGGTACACCCATTCAGATTACGACCAAATAGACGTTGAGATTCTAACGGCTGGGGTAAGATTAAAGGACTAAGCTTTTGAATATGCAGTTGCTTTAAAATGTCGCTTCAATCTGATTGATTTTGTTTCTTATTGCAGGGAGTCGTCTGTCCTTTTCTCACCGCTACTGGGGCTGAAGCGAAAGAGGATTATGTCACATCTTTCAAAGCACTAGAGGATGCAAGGGATGAACGGATAGACCGCCTGATACGGGACCTAAAAGGGGTCACACATGTGATGGCAGTTACAGGGCCACTGCTTCACAACGTGGTTGATGCCGTGGATGATAAAGCTCCAATCGTCCGGAGGTCTGAGGAGGAGGAAAAGAAGAGGGAGAAAGAGGTTCATATGCCTCAGTAAACCGGTACAATAAGTACCGGTTTGCTGAGACATCAACGTCGGGATAATGAGGTGGTTGACCTCATAAACGGTATGTTTTAGAGTTTTACAACAGCCGTTTATGACAAGTTTGACAAGATGGAAGAGCGCATGAAAATGGTGGAGGAGAAAGTGGATAAGCTGGCAGAGAAAGTTGTTACAGTGGAGGAGGAAGTTGGTGGAGAATTAAAGGCGGTTGAAGTGCAAACTGGGCTTAAAAGAGAGACTCGAAAGAGCAAGTTTGTGAAATCACCTTACATGGCAGTGACACAAGTAAAGAAGAGGAAAACTAAGAAACAAATGGAGGAGATTAAGGAGGTTAGTGGAGGAAGTGGGGCAGTGATAATTGTGGAGGGCGAGGTGGGAGGCGAAGGAAGCGGGGATGTAAAAAAGGAGGAAGGGGGAGGAAGTGGGGAAGCGAAAATGGACTCAAATGTCGATTTGTATATGCCAATAGAGGAAAAGAAAAAACTCTTCTATGCCTATTACAATGGATCAGGAAGTAATGGCCATATAAAGTGTAAGACCGGGGATTATCCTCGGGAATGGTTTGGAAAGTTGTTGACAATAGGCACGTGGCTTGAGGACTCGGTGAGTTATTTTCGCTTAATTTTTCTTATTTTTGCCTATGTTTTCCATACTTATCTTGTTGTTTTTATTTGATGCAGCACATCGATGAGATATTGGCACTGATGAGGCTACGATAGACTAGTGATGGTGATCTATTGTATCCCGACTGTGCCATCACTGATGTGGCGTTTGGCCAAACGCTTGTTTTGATATATGACACTTTAATTAAAAATGTCGTTGCTAGTGGTTCAGCAAAAGGAGCGAAGTGAAAAAGATTGGCCCTAGAACAGTTGGACTGCATCCCTGATGATTTTCAGTTTGATGACAGGATTATGTAGTATGTATGGGGGGATCGGCCCAAATATGGCTACAGTTGGGCTTTTGTTAAAAGAGTGTACTACATCATCCTCGTCAAACAGATGCACTGGATAGCAGTCGTTTCGCATCTAGAGGAGCGGTTGCTGAAGATCCTTGACTGCAACCCAACTATTTGTCGAGACAAGCTATTGGAGGTTGAGTTGGAGCCACTGTCCAGGTTGTTCCCGCAGATGTTGCGTGACAGCGGGATGTTTGCGCACTTGGGTCTAAAATTCACTTAATGGGTCTAAAATTAATTAAAAAAATACTAAAATTTCCTAAATAATTAAACAAAGAAATATTTTGGGAATAGGATTTGTTATATGTTTCATACTGACGTAAAAGAACTATATGTTTAATATTAATATAATGATGATCATGGTCAATTGAACGAATCGTAAACCTTATATGTTTAGCATTGACGTAATGGTTACTACACCTTATATGTTTCATACTGACGTAAAAGAACTATATGTTTAATATTAATATAATGACGATCATGGTCCATTGAACGAATTGTAAACCCTATATATTAAGAGTTCGAGCCATAAAATTTTGTTTAATAGTCAAAGGAACTTCGTTTACACAGGGTGGGTCGCTTAAGCGATCATAGATATCGCTTAAGCGATACTTTTCTTTTTGACCTGGTCCATTAAGCGATTATAGATATCGCTTAAGCGATCATGTGATAGGCAGAATCAAATCGATCTCAAACGCATGATCGCTTAAGCGATCCGTGATATCGCTTAAGCAATCTTTTTCACATGATCGATTAAGCGATCGTAGATATCGCTTAAGCGATCATGTGATGGGCAGAATCACATCTGCCCAGGTGCATGATCGCTTAAGCGACTAAGTGTATCGCTTAAGCGATTCTTGTCTTTCTCACTTGGTCGATTAAGCGATCGTGGATCGCTTGAGCGATCATGTAATGGGCTGAATCAATATCTGCTCAGGTGCATGATCGCTTAAGCGATCCTGATATCGCTTAAGCGATCCTGTATGAAGAACCTTTTGTCGCTTAAGCGATACACTTAGTCGCTTAAGAGATCATGGGCAATATATACTTTTCCAGCTTTTCTCCTGAATTTTGACAAACTCAAATTACCAACATGTATTAATTCCATACTTTCTCCTCAATTTGACAACCTAACACCAAACTAGAATCACCAACAAATATTTAGGCCATGTAACAAGAATACTAAATATAAAGAATGATTTATTAAAGGTAACAATAAAATTTAAAACATCAATAATTGAAAACAATAACTCATCAACGGTTGGCCTTGGCAACTCCCTGAATTTCATCCTTCTTCGAACCTAATTTTTTGGATCTGCATGTGATTGCTTTTGGCAATTGCTTCTCTTGTGGCCAGGTTGCTTGCAAATTGAGCACTTATTCATCTTCTGGGGAACCTTAAAGGCTGATGGAATACGCTTAACTCTTTTTCTCCCCTTTGCTGTCTTCTTGAATGGTTGCTGGATGATAATGTCAGCCATCTCTGGCGGCACTACCCATTGCTCTTCTGGAGGCACCAGATATATCATTTCTGAATAAGCTAGCATGTAGTGATCTGTCATATAGAGAGGGGAGCAAAGTTCCATGTAAATTCTTGAACCAAAATCTAGCTTCCGTTGGTGTTTCAGTGCTGCTGGTGCATGAGGACAAGGTAAACGTTGAATGTCAAGCACTTTACAGCTGTAAGTTTTTCTAACAAGGTTAACTAGGGCATCCGGACCATAGCCGCGCATAGTGAACTTTAAGCATTAAGAGGATAGGCAAGCAGTGAATTTGACAGTTCCATACGTTCTCGCAATAATTTTTTAGCTGACAGAACAAGGGTTGTAGTAAAATTATCTAACTCTGTACGACGCTCATGGAACCACCGCGACAATGTCCTCTGGATTGCATCAAAAAGTGCAACTATTGGAAACTCTCTTTCTATTAACAACTTCGAATTTATGGACTCTTCTATTTTCGTGGTCATGACATCAAACCTTCTTCCAGGAAAGTAAGCTCTACTTCATCGCTCGAAACCAACATCATGCTTAAGATACTTAGCAACTCTATCATCCTTGATTCGGATTTGCTAAAAGTGTTCCTCGAACTCATCAACCCGATAAGCTTTTGCTGCCACGTAGTATGTTTGAAGGAGGCCAGCACACTTAAACTTTTGTTTTATGTTCTCACCAAGGTGTCTCATGCAGAATCCCCAAGGTGTCTCATGCAGAATCCGTGATGTGCTTGACGGTAAATAGTGGTAATCCCCTTCTTTATAGAGTTGTGCCTATCGGATATTATGAACAACTCATCACTGTCACGCACTATCTTACGTAACTGCTGGAAAAACCAAGTCCACGACTAGTCATTCTCAAAGTCAACCACACACCATGCAATAGGATATGTGTGATTCTCGCTGTCCTGTGCAGTGGCCACCAACAATGTACCTTCATACTTTCCCGTCAGAAAGCAACCATCAACAGCCAACACCTTTCTCATGTTTACAAAACCCTTTATAGCAGAACCGTAAGCAACGAAAAAATATTTAAACATCATATTCTTGTTCCACTTCAAAGCTATCTTGCTACCTTGGTTTGTCAACTCAAGCATATAACGGTACGCTTCTAATACTGCGTACTCGTGCTCCGGTGTGCCCCTCACAAACTCTTGTGCATGTTGTCTCCCTTTCCAGCATTTCCAGTAACTAATAGTACATCCCAACTCTGTGCGCACAAGTCTCTGAATGTCTTTAGGAGATGGACCCTTTCCTTCAACGAACCGACTTTTGACAAATTGTCTAATAACATCAGCAGACGCTTGTCAATGCTCACCTGAAATATGTCCCAAACCACATGTGTGCTGACGGGTATATGTGCTAAGAATAAATTTTTTTAACTCCACCAACCTTCTACAATAAACCCGCCACTTGCACTTTGGGTCACGACATGCAACCGTCACAGCCAATGAATTTGACTTTTTGGTGATGAACTCAAAATTACCTCTCACGGCAACAAGTTTTAGCTTCCTCACCACTTCCTCTTTGTTGTCAAATAAATACCCTACGCGCAACTCCAATCCATCCGTAAAAACATGAGCTGATTCACTACTACCTCCAATTGCCCCCTCTAAACCTGCATAAACGACCATAGTGTTCTCTTCCTCACAATCTACGCCTTCTACATAATCTGTATTTAAAGGAATCTCTATATCTGTGGGAACATGTACAGGGTCCTCCTCCTCAACATTTTCATTCTGCCCCGTATCACCAACCTCTTCTACAGTCTCCTCCTCACCACCCAATTCACCGTCTACTCTTGATTTTTCAACTAACAAATCAATGGCCTCGTAGTTCAAATTAAAACCAGGCAAATCTCCGCCTACTTCCTCGTTATCCCCTTCCTTTGAACCAACTTCCAAATGTTTTTCTACAAAAGAAACCCTTAAAATCGGCCTCGAACCATTATCGGCCACATCAATCATATATAACTTCACACTTTCATCCGACTTTAATATAGCAGGAGGTACCTTATAATGTTCAGGAACTCTGCTTAAAACATACTTCACCACTAGATCACTACGCGAACAACTCAAATTACCTCTTCTAATTATTTCATCAATCAGTTCATCAAAACTAACCTCTGTGCTCACAGCAATTGTTATAACTTCTTTGCTCTTCCCAATCCACTTCTAGCTACTTTCTTCCTCCACCCACTCACCAAAATATTCAACACCCAAAACAACTTGTCCCATGTGTGATAATAGCCAACTACCTGTAATGCAAGAAAAAAAAATATTCTAAAATGTTGTACTAAGGGTTCAAATATTTTAAAAAGAATCTGCACAGTCGCTTATATGGTCTGCGTATCGCTTGAGCGATCATGGTTATTTATACTGGATTGCTTAAGCAATGATTGCTTAAGCGATCCAGTATAAATAACCATGATCGCTTAAGCGATCTTATGCCATTTATTGATTGCTTAAGCGATCTTATGCCATTTATTGATCGCTTAAGCGATCTGCTCCTATACACCAGACTTTTACTAGATCGCTTAAG